GTAGCTTTAAGGAATGAAACAAGCAGATAAAGTGATATGATGAGTTCCTGTAGCTTTAAGGAATACAATATGAAGATAGTTTGATGAGGAGAGTTCCTATTGCTTTAAGGAATACAATATGAAGACAATTTGATGAAGTGAGTTCCTTAAGCTTTGAGGAATGAAGGTAGTTTGATGAGCTGAGTTCCTGAAGCTTTAAAGAATACAATATGAAGATAGTAGATGAGATGAGTTCCTGTAGCTTTAAGGAATGAAGACAGTTTGACGAAATAAGTTCCTGCAGCTTAAGGAATAAAGATAGTTTGATGAGATGAGTTCCTGCAGCTTTAAGGAATACAATATGAAGGTAGTAGGTGAGATGAATTCCTGTAGCTTTAAGGAATGAAGACAGTTTGACAAAATAAGGTCCTGCAGCTTAAGGAATGAATATAGTTTGATGATATGAGTTATGAGCCTGCAGCTTTTAAGGAATACAATATGAAGATAGTAGATGAGATGAGTTCATGTATGGAATATAATGATAGCTTTCCGATGAATAGAACTCAGGAGGCACGAAGAGAAATAGAGGTGTCAGTAGTAAGGAATTAATCCAATTTATAACTTGCCATTACTTGGAGGCTTTTCGAAGCCAGAAGTTTCCAAAGGTAATCCGAAGTCAAAGCGTTGGAGAACGGAGGTCAGCGGTATAAACAGTCCTGGTTCGGTACACGTGTAATTAGTATAACGAGAGATTGCTTGTAGCCGGTCTGAAGTTAGGAAGCTTCAAAATAACCAAGAACTTTAAATCTGGCACAGTTCCTCTAAGTAGTGTGAGGAAGTCGTGTCAGAGAAGGGTGTGTGTCATTGGTCCGTGAACCCGGAAGTGTCGGATATCGGAGAAGCCGATAGTTAAGTTCTGACACCCGGTAAACGACATTTCCCTGCTATCGAATCAATTTCAAATCCCAAAAAACAGGCTGTCTGTCAGAGGGAGGGGGGGGAAAGAAATTCTATGGGGGGAGGAAATTTGAGGGGGGGGAAATAAATTTAAGGAAGGGAGGGGGGAAACTTGAGGGGGGGGAATAAATTTAAAGAAGGGAGGGAGAGGGAGGAAAGAAATTTAAGGAAGGGAGGGAGGGGGAGGAAAGAAATTTAAGGAAGGGAGGGGGAGGAAAGAAATTTGAGGGGGGGGAGAGGAAGGAAATTTGAGGGGGGGAGGAAGGAACTTAAGGGAGGGGGGGAGGAGGAAGGAAATTTGAGGGAGGGGTGAGAGGAAGGCAATTTGAGGGGGGGAGAAGGCAAATGAGAGGGTGGAGAAGGAAATTGAGAGGAGGGGGAGAAGAAGAGGTTGATGGGGAGAAGAAGGCCATTGAGGGGGGAGAAGAAGGAAATTGGAGGGAGGGGGGAGGAAGGAAATTTCTGGGAGGGGGCAGAGGAAGGAAATTTGAGGGGGGGAGGAAGGAAATTGGAGGGGGGAGAAGGCATTGAGAGGGAAGGGGAGAAGGACATTGGAGAGGGAGGGGGAGAAGAAGGAAATTGGAGAGGGGAAGAAGAAGGAAGTTGTTGGGGGGGAGAAGAAGGAAATTGGAGCAGGGAGAAGAAGGAAGTTGGAGAGGGAGGGGGAGAAGAAGGAAATTGGAGGGTGGAGGAGAAGAAGGAAATTGGAGAGGGAGGGGGAGAAGAAGGAAATTGGAGAGGGAGGGAGAGAAGAAGGAAATTGGAGAGGGAGGGAGAAGAAGGAGAGGAGGGGAGAAGAAGGAAATTAGAGGGAGGGAGGGGGAGAAGAAGGAATTTGGGGGGGGGAGAAGGAAATTGACGGGGGGAGGGGGAGAGATTGACATACATCACACACACAATGCACCCCTTGCACACAGAAAAACAAACAATGCATTACACACAGACACACATACACAAGCAATGCATCCCTTACACACAGCAATACACAATGCACCCCTTACACACACTCAATGCATCCCTTACAGACGCACACACTGCATCCCATACATACACAAACTCACCTTGCAGCCCTTACACATACAAACACAGATTCACACAATGCATTCCTTACACACATCAGGACATCCCACCCACACACACTCCACCCCCTGTGACCCAGACATTGAGCTGTGTAAAGGGCCCTCAAAAAAATGGAGCTGCTTCCCGTTGATCCCAGAACATTGATTTTTGTGACCACAGTTACAAACCGCCTCCAGAGAGCCTGTTCTACACCAGACCAGTGGAACCAGACAGGAGCTAGAGCCCATCATCATCCTCATCTGGTTGTAAGTAGGCAATCTAGTATATTATTTGTGGCACTAATCTCTAATTTACCTCACATTAAAGGGGCACTATAGTCCCCAGAACCACTACAGCTTAATGTAGTGGTTCTGGTGTCTAGCCTGTCCCTGCAGGCCTTTTAATGTAAACACGGCGGCACTGTAGCACTGGTGTTAGTTAACCTGGCAGATCATATGGGTGGGGCATTGTGATGTCACATGGGGGGGCGGCAAACTTTACTTTTGCCTAGGGCGGCAAAAATCCTTGCACCGGCCCTGCAGACACTGCATTCTTGTGGGCGGACTCGGGAAGGCTGCAGGCACCGGGGGGCCCAGACCTTGAGCTGTGTCAGGGGCCCCACAATTTCTGATGGCAGCCCTGCTACTAGGTAACGTATTACTGGGCCTTAGAATGGCCAGACTAACATACCAAAGAATAGCCAGGATGCTAGCCAAGGTCAGGGGACACAGAAAGGGACACAACAATAAAGGAAAGCCAGAGGTCAGGGATACCAGAATATAGGGAAGTCAAAATCAAAGCCAAAGTCAAAAACCAGAAGAAACTTGAACCAGGAATGCACTCTCGGACAACCACTAGGGAAACCACGACAGGGCAAAGAGGAAAGGTAATTTTAGGTTAAATACCTGCTTTACCTTTCTGATTGGCCAAGATCGCTCTTTGACCCCAGAAGTATGTGCGCGCGTGGCACGTGCGTGACGTCACGTGCACGCCGACGTCATTAATCATGTGAGTGGACGTGGGGGTATAATTAGCTGTGGATCCGCAGTAGCCGGCGTCCGTTAACATGCCGCAAGTGTTAGTTATGCAGATGCACGGCCGCTGACTGCAAGGTGAGGATGAATATGTTGCAGCCTCCCAGCCTCCCCCCTGGGATAATACGCTAGGAGATCTGGCTTCACTGTCCTGGGAGCAGTGAGATCCGCAAACCAGTAAGTGGTCAGCGCTAATGGGCCCCTCCATAATTTGCCCTGCTGCTGTCCCTGACCCCTTCTTCCTGCCTACCTGGACTCCTCTGCAATGTCAGGGGTCGTCCACTACTGCGCCCAGTCCTAATGGGGTGTTTAGCCACCTGTTCCTGTTGCCTTCCTAGCAGGTGTTCCTTGCAGAAGGCAAGTACATTGCCTTTGACTTACTAGCTTGTCTCTATATGGCCTTTAGAGCTGCGCTGTTCCTGGATCTGAAACCCTGATGCTTGTGTGGCAGGCCCTAGAGCTGCTCAAAATTCCTGAGTGACCACCCACACCTGTCCCCACTTCTCCCCTAGGTAAAGTAATTGGACCACTGAGGCCCAACTCACCCGGTGCAGGACCCCCAGCAGCCATCAACAAATCTGGCCTAGCAGCAATCCTTCATCCTGTGACGCTACATGCACATATAAAGCACTATGAAGGGATTTGCCCAATAATGTATCATAAATGCGTAATAAACTCATGGTAGTGTCACATAAACATTATCCATGAAATAGGGGAACAAACAATGTGTTCATAGGTAAATTAAAGCAGTAAGTGTGTTTTATACTTACCTTCTCTTGACACATTGTAATAGCATTTATTTAGATGTATCAGTATGATAAACTGTAAATGTCTAAAAAAAATAAATAATGGAAAGTTTCTATAATAAATAAACCTTAGAATATTCTGCCTCCAAAGCTGCTCTATTGGGAAAACTCATCATATACATCAGGGTTAGTCAACCTGGTCCCTACTGCTAACTAGTGGGCAGTTTGGGATTTCAGGTGGGTGGTGGTGGGTTATTCGGAAAAAGCCTGGTGGGCCTTGATAACTGTGGGCCAAGGTCAGCAGGGGAGATCTTCTCTCCTGCTGGCCCTTGCAGAGTTAGCCTTGCTGTAAGCCTTCTTGGGCTGGAGAGGAGATCAAAGATCTCCCTCACCGTTCCACTGGCACTTTGTTCAAGCAGAGGGTGAGAAGGGCCTGGGAGGCTTTGTGTTCCTACAGCGAGCAGGCTGGTTGTAGCATTGCAGCGCATTACCATGGCAACGCTCGACACAGTGCTGTGCTCGCAGGAGGACAGGAGAGTCAGTTGGCAGCCAGAGGAGCTGCAAGCTAAGGTGAACATGTCACAACTGGGCCACCTGGGCTTGCAACATTATGTCCCTCCTCCCTGATAAAAGGTAAGAAAAAGGGAGGGGGAGACATTAAGATAGATTTTCACATCTCACCCATCTACACACAGCATAGACCCTATGCACCTTTCACACACAAACACACACTACACCCCTCACACACAGCAAAGGCGTCAGTCTTAGGGTGCTCCGGCCCGGGGTACACAAATATCCAGTTAACTGGCAGGAGAAATTTGCACAGCACTCCTCTCCTGACAGTTATTTCCTGTAGCTTGGCCGAGCGCCAGTACCCCTACTGCCCAGCACAGGAGGAGAGAGCTTCACATTCCAGCTCCCAGGACCTCTACAGGGCACATGAAAGAGCTATACAGTATATGCAAATCCCTCAGAGGATCACTGCGGCAGCCCACTGGACCCCA